GCCCAAGGTCAGCGCAACCCTTCCCATCCTCGCCTTGCTACTAGGCCTTGGCCTAGTAGCACTGCCATTAGTTACCGCCATGGGCGTACTTGACTATGTCGCACCTAGTTTTTTCCCCCTTTAGCGTCCCGTTTAGTCTGTTTTGATGCGCATATATTATTCTGTGTTTTAGTAATTTTATACTCCCTCCGTTTCTAAATATTTATCTTCTTAGATATTTCAAATGGACAACCACATACAGATGTATATAGACATATTTTAGAATGTTGATTCACTCATTTTGCTTCGTATGTAGTCACATATTGAAATCTCTAAAAAGACAAATATTTAGGAACGGAGGGAGTAAAACTTATCTTACCATTTCCCCGGGTAAAAGTAATGGTAGCAATCAAACCTAGAAATTTAGCATCAGTGTCAAATTGTAAGGGCTTCTTCAACACCGTCCATCAAAATGGGCACACAAAACATGAGCAACAACATCCGGACATGTCCGTGGACCGTGCTAGCACAACCGGCCATCAAACCTGATGCACGGAAAAAGCGCACACGCCATTTTCCTTAATACCAATATTTTTTTACCTATCAAAAGTGTCCAACCCTAGAATACTCTTCATCAGCCATGGGCACGTCCCTATCCCACATCCAGCTTTTTGCCAGGGATGGGCACGTCCGTGTCCCACCTCCTACTATTCCACGTCGGATTCCTCTGCCTGGCCGTAACATAGTCCATGGAGGTGAGGTCGTTGGTCGAGTAGGATGGGCGGGCCTCATCATCATTGCGGCCCGACACAAACAATGCTAAGCTGACGATGGTGGCAGCCCTCCCATTCGCTAATGCGCGTGCCACCTCCGTGTCTGCCTCCACTATGATATGCTTGAATTTGGAGGTTGTCCGCCACCTCATTGGCGGGGTGGAGCCACCGCTCACCACAGATGGTGCGAGCGTGACGCACAAACTCATAGAGTGCAAGCTTCTCATCGATGAAGCCCATATCCTCCAAGACCATGGTTGCAACGGCCTACCCGGCCAAGATCTGGCCCTCCACGAGCCAGTGTTGTAGGTTGTGCCGCTGCTCCTCCTGCAGCATCCAGAACATGGAGGCCGATGGAGCCGCCTGCTCCTCCTACGCCATGAAAGCATCAAAGTGTGTCTGCGCTATGGTGAATCCCATGACTGGAGCGGGCGCCTGCTCCTCATTATACATCTCCTTCATCGTTCGGTCCTCATCATTCCATCTCTGCTCCCACGAGCTGGAGGCATTCCTGCCTCAATGCGGTGCGCGCACTCGTCTTCCCAGTCATGCACAAGCTCCGCGGTCTCGTGCTGGTGCCGTGGTGAGAGATTCTTGAACAATACACATCCAGTCTTGGCCATTGTGCCGACAGTCATGGGAAGGAGGAGGAAGGGGAGCAGTGGTGCGCCGACGGAGGTCAGACGAAGGGAGATGGGGCTCAGACGTGCTGCGGTTTGTGCCGGTCAGGCGAAGCGCAATTTAAATAATGGGTGCCCAGGGGAGCGGAGCAATGTCTTGAATACGCCGACTAGGTGGAGCAATGACTTCTCATTCGTCGCGCCAGCGTGAATGCTTGCCAGACGGACAGACTGTAGCCTGCTTGAATGTCATAGGAATCTGTCTTGTCGCCCATCCGGTCATGCTCGATTTGGACCGACATGAACACAACGCCAAGAGCGAGCGGCGGTCAGACCGTCGAATACCGATCACGTCCGCTTTGGACCAACATGAATGCGACGCGGAGAGAGGAGTATTGGTTGGGGAAGGAAAAGAGATATGGTTTTGTGTGGGTCAGGGGTGTCGGACGCCTATGTGACGGAGGTTCAGACACCCAGATACCCCCCAACTTTTCTTCCAGTTTACAGAAAGCCGGACGTGTGGGCCTGCCCACGAACGATTGATGGACGATATTGGAGGGCACAAAGTGCACAAACCACACAATCCGGATATTTACAGACGGTTTGATGCACAAAGTTGAAGATGCCCTAAGTACATGGCAAATTTGGCATCACAAAAGCCCTAAGTAGCACGCGTGCTCTACTTAGATTCTGGCAATATTCTTTATGACTTAACAATTGTTGTGGACCTAGAATAATTTTGATGTAGGATAGAACCCTAGACGCCTGATCTTTCACGATTGGAGTGGGATCCCTCGAAGAACATGATGAACACAGGGAAAAACAGAGAGAAATCACAAGCGAAAACACTCAAGAACGAGTCCAATCACACATCCACCAGACAATCAAACACACAAGATCCACAAGGTACATGAACAACAATGAGAAATATACAAGCTAGAGTCCATCCCAAATCCAACGGAGATGGGGGCTTGAATCCTAGAAGGATCTTCCCACGAAGGGGGGCTTGAATCCCTCGGGATCTTCTCACATGGAGGTCTTGAACTCCATGGGAGTGGTCTCTCTCTCTCAAGAGGAGGAGGTAGGAGCAAAGCTCACCTAAGAATGAGCTATCATATTTGCTTCCCCTAGAAACGAGGTGGAGGAGGTCTATTTATAGCCCAAGGGGCGAATGGGTACACGGGCCTTGACCCAAGTCATGCGCGCAGGCAAGGGCCGGATGATCCGGCTTCATGGTGAAGCTTCGGATGTCGTCGACGCAGTTATCCAGTTGATCTGGGGGAGGTCCAGATGATCCGGACGGACGTCCGGACGTCCGGCCTGACTCCAGTAGCCGCTCCATCTTCTTCTCCTTTCTTCCGTCTTCTCTTCCACGCTTCCCTCGCGGATGGTGTAGGTGTTCCTTGGCGCTTGCACTCCTCCTCGTCGTCCGTGAAGCTCCGGCAATGCCTATGCATGCACATGAGTGGAGTGTCAAGTAGTATACCATCCTCGAAGGGGTCAAGTGAACACGTGTAAAGGAGAAGATTCACCTTTATGTATGAGAAGTAGAGGTCGCACGTGTCACTTGCCAAACAGACTCTTGACATGGTGATGTCCGTAGGATGCTCCACATCAAATTTTGTGGAATCCAATAAAATATATGTTATACTTAAACTTATATATTATTTTTGCTACACTTTCAAAATAATAGAGATGATGCTCTCAAGTTTGAAAGGCAACCATGTGTTAGTTGGTAAAAAGCGTTGCGTTTCTATGGGCATCTCTAGTCGAACCCTCAAAATTTAGCCCTTCAAAAGCTGTTTCAAATCTTATCTCCTCAATAAAAAGTGGTTCCTAGCTTAACTCTTAAAGTTGAACTCCCTAAAAATATTCTGCATATTTCAAACACAAATTTAAATTACTCGATTTCATAATTAAATAAAGGTAGCACATCATACATTGCATAATTAGATGGTTTATCACCACCTAGCATACTTTAAACTACATAGCATAACTAGACAACTTTAAATTGCTCATCATCGTTGAAGATCTCGTCCCAATTCACGCCGGAGTCGGAAAGCCAGAGGGTCCGGCTTCATCGGCGTTGTTGCCACGCTTCTTGGAATCGGGCCACTCTTCTTTCGCGGTGACTAGCTCCGGATTCTTTGCGATGGGCTAAGCCATATAGGTCTTGTCGATAGCTCGGCCTCGAGCTGATTAAATTTCAAGCAGTCCTGCTCCTCCTCAGCGCGGGAGACCTCTCTAGCGGGAGGCTCGATGAAGTCCTGGGCGGGGCCACCTTCGCCCGGGCGAGTAGCGACATACCACACGCCGCCTGCAACACGGACTGGTATGTGTGGAGCCACCGCTTCTCCGCATGTTCGAATTGTGGATCTCCACTGCCGAATCGCCCTAGGCCGCATGCCGGTACTTCTCCAGCAGCAGCGATGACTGAGACATGGATCTCGAGCGGGAGGTGGCGGCGGGTATTCGGGCGGACGAAATGCGAATACGGGGTGGCCCTCCTCATCTACGAGCTCATGGTAGCAGCCATGACTAGATTCATCGATTCACATGATGTCGGTAGGCGGTGGTCAATCAAAGTGTGCCAGGAGGATGGCGGGGGCTGCACGGTGGCCGACGGGGGAAAGGAAAGCGGCGGAGGCAAGAAAGTTGGTGCCTGCGTGGAGGCAACCGAGCTAGGGAGAGTGACATCCAAGCCACAAAGGGAATCTTTTTTGCTGAGAAGTGGCTTCGGCCGCTCAAATTTGAGGCGCAACCGATATGCCGCCTTCTTTCTTGAGAAGTTAAACTAGATGAGAGTTTGGCTATAGTTGCCGTGAACATGTCTATGCATTCTAGGCCCTATTCGACAACACTCCACTCCTCCAGGACGGAGCGGAGCGCCGGATTAGCAGCTCCCTAAATTACAACTACATGATGCAGAGGCTCTTAGTCCTACAAATTCGTCCGTGTCATCAATTGTCGTTGGCTTTTCCTTTTCTTTGCAGGAGCATAAACTCTTGTAAGACGTGCGATTCCAGTACACCGGTCGATGCAGAGGCAACATCCATTTCGGTTCGGCATATAGGCCAACGTTGATTTTATTTATTTTTATTTTTTACAGTTGCTGTTTCTTCGTCGTTCCACTAATTGTCACCGCTCCATGTCCTGGCTTCACGGCGGCGGCATTAAATGTTCAACAGAATTTGTCAACCGTTGAGATGTGATCCGACACCCGATACGGGGGGATCGCTCGCCATCTATTCGCGCCGCACCAGGGTTTCAGAATGGCATTTTTTTTTTTTTGCGAATAGAATAGCATTCAAGACCGATCCGTCCCGACGTGATCTCGCCACCAAACCAGATGCAAACCATAGGAGAAAACATAAACACCTTCGTCCTGGTCGGACGCAGCGGCCACAGCTCCACTACTTCCTCTCCGGCATCTACTTAAGATCTTCAAAGGTTTTTCTTGCGATAAGGAACTGCAAAGGTGAGCTTACTTCTTCTGCTTCTGCAAAGGTGAGCTTACTTCTGTTGCGCTTCTCCCTTCGGCTTTGTTGAATCCAGAACCAGGAGAAACATGACGCTGGATCGTGGGCGCAGCCGTTCCTGAGCCGTGGTGTATCTTGATGTGCAGAAGATGCCGACGTTGAGCATCACGGTGGACATGGGGTGCAGCCGCTGCAGCGCCAAGATTCAGAGGGTCCTATCCTCCATCCAGGACCGAGGCAAGTTTGTCATCGAGAAGATCGTGTACGAGGATAAACGGGTGCTCGTGTCGGGGCCCTTCGACGCCGACAAGCTGACATGCAAGCTCTGGTGCAAGGCCAGCAACGTCATCAAGAACATTGAGGTCGTCAAGCCGCCGGTGGTAGCCAAGCCGAAGGACGACCCTCCCAAGCAGAAGAAGCAAGACGAGAAGCCCGAGACCAAGCCAGCCCCGTGCAACCAGCTGGTCCCGTACGCGTACCCGTACCCGCTGCCGTACCCATCGGCGTGGCCGTGTGGCTGCGGTACGCCGTGCTGCGAGGGCCACTCCAAGCCGCCCCCTCTGGCGCCGGCGCCCACGTGCCAGTGCCCGGCCTACCCGCCGTACCAGCAGCCGATGCCCATGCCGTGCACGCCGATGGTCATCTGCGAGGAGAGCCCGCCCGCCTGCTCCGTCATGTAACTGCGTGTATGTCCCTGCTCGACGGTGTACACCACCTCTTTGAAGCCTCCATGTATCCAGTCCATGAGTGATTTGTTTGTAATTCTTTCAATATATTTCCTTAAACGTCTTCGAGCTTAATGCTTTCTGTCGAATAAGTGAACGTTGTATATATGTTGCTTAAGGAATCAGGAATCCCCAAGCAGCCTAGAGCAATTTTCACCTTGTTCAAAAATCCTTTACTCTTAGGATTTGAAAATACAATGCCCTGTTTTACTTTTATAAAGTGTAATGCATTTCTTTCACCACTTAAATTACAATGCCTACCCAGGCCTGAATCTGGGAGCTATTGATCTTCATGGCACTGATTCTGACATCCCCGGTGGAGGTGGTTAAGACGGCCATTGATGCTATTTCACTACAAGAAATATGTTAACTAGTGACCTTCTGTGAGTGACCTGGAAGAATCGGTCATAGATCTATGACCATTTCAAACTAATTGGTCAAAAGCTGTTCGGGGGGCTCCAAACCCTAAACTATAACGACCATTTTGGTCAGAAATGTCGTAATTTCCTTACACGAAATGGTCATAAAGCAGATCCGCCTTATTTCTAGCTGATCATGACCAATATAGATGGTCATAACCTTGTAAATTGTGGTGGGTTGCTATGACTAGGCGCCACCTCATCAGTTTTGCCTATGTGTCATGTCCATGTGATAGTTTTTGCCCTAGGTTGTGAAGCAACCTATAATTCTGTCATTCCCAAAATTCCCAAAAAAATCTCATAAATTGTTTGGGTCATATCTTCGTCAAATATATAAAAAACCTTCCTTACCTAGTTCAAAAATAATTCAAAAATATTCATTTTCCTATTTTGTTCAGAAAAACACTTTGTGAAGGAAGTACCACTTTGGCATGTCCAAATGGTATCCATTTTCTACGGTGCTTTCCTATGTCCAAATAACCATCCTCCACCAAATGCCAGCTCAATCCATTCATTATTTTGAGCCCAGCTTCAACATTCGTATTTATGTCCAGTGTGGTACTTTGCAAAGCAAGTACCACCTAGGCTCCTCCTTTTGAGCTAAAAATTTGTGAAGACGGCCTTCTTAGTAACTGATCATTCTCAGCCAAAACTCACGTCCATTGGCCATGTGCATTTCCTGTACCGCTAATCAAACACTTGGCTGCTTATTCATGTTTGAGCATCGATCGGTCTCCTCGTGAGAATCTTATGTTGTGATTTTCTTTCTAGCACCTACCTGGGGAGTGCCCAACCCACTAGACATGCCTAGGCCGCCCAGAACACATGGCAACGCCACGGTCACACGGGGCGCATGCGAGTTTACGCGCTATAGAGTTGGGGCCCTTGGCCAACGTCCAAAACTCGACGTATCGCCACCAAATCATGTATTTATGATTAAATAGGTACTTATATAACTAAAAATAATTTTTGGAAAAAATAAATAGCAAACTATGAGGCAACTGCAGTTCAAATTTGACCCGCTTCCTACTGAATCGGCGGGAATTTGTCTTTTTCACCAGAGGTGGATCAAAACTTTTGACACCCAACCATTTTGTCAATTGTGCATTAAATATGGTCTAGTATTTTAGAAAATTGATTTGGTTCAATTTGCAACAAATATATGGTAGGTCATTCACAAAAAAAAAACTCATTTCGGGCACTCAGAAAATGGAAAATGAATTTTCCGTGCAAAGAAAATGAAAACTCCCTTAGGCAACATTGTTTGTAATTCCAAGATGCACCCTTGTGCACAATATGAGATCATTTGAACAAACTATGCCATGAGTGTGGCCATAAGATTGACCATTTGGCTTGAAAGTCATGAATCTTCACGCATGATAGCTCGTTTCTGAGAACACTTTTTAAAAATAATTACCATATTACAAGTTTATTATTTTTCCTGTAAACTTGGTCACATATAATGACACAATGCGAAGGTTTTCCAATTTTTTGATTTTTTTGATTTTTTTTATACCCATTTCAAAATGCGGTCAAAACGACGGGCTTGACAGTTCCTAGCTAGTGGTTGAATCTTGAAAAACTTTTGATGTTTCTCTGATTAAATAGATACTTATGTACCTAGAAATGATTTTTGGAAAAAATAAAAAGCAAACTATGAGGTAGACACAGTTCAAATTTGACCCGCTTTCAACTGAATCGGCGGAAATTTGTCTTTTTAACGAGAGGTGGATCAAAACTTTTGACACCCAACCATTTTGTCAATTGTGCATAAATATGGCCTAGTATTTTATAAAATTGATTTGGTCCAATTTTGCAACAAATATATTGTAGGTCCTTCACAAAAAAAAACTCATTTCGGGCACTCGGAAAATGGAAAATGGATTTTCCGTGCAAAGAAAATGAAAACTCCCTTAGGCAACATTGTTTGGAATTCCAAGATGCACCCTTGTGCATAATATGAGATCATTTGAACAAACTATACCATGAATGTGGCCATAAGATTAATTATTTGGCTTGAAAGTCATGAATCTTCACGCATGATAGCTCGTTTCTGAGAACACATTTTTAAAATAATTACCATATTACAAGTTTATTATTTTTCCTGTAAACTTGGTCGCATATAATGACACAATGCGAAGGTTTTCTATTTTTTTTGAATTTTTTATGCCCGTTTCAGAATGCGGTCAAAACGACGGGCTTGACAGTTCCTAGCTAGTGGTTGAATCTTGGAAAACTTTTGATGTTTCTCTAATTAAATAGATAATTATGTACCTAGAAACGATTTTTGGAAAAAATAAAGAGCAAACAATGAGGTAGACACAGTTCAAATTTGACCCGCTTCCAACTAAATCGGTTGGAATTTGTCTTTTTCACGAGAGGTGGATCAAAACTTTTGACACCCAACCATTTGGTCAATTGTGCATTAAATATGACCTAGTATTTTATAAAATTGATTTGGTCCAATTTTTTAATAAATATATTGTAGGTCCTTCACAAAAAAAACTCATTTCGGGCACTCGGAAAATGGAAAATGAATTTTCCGTGCAAAGAAAATGAAAACTCCCTTAGGTAACATTGTTTGGAATTCCAAGATGCACCATTGTGCACAATATGAGATTATTTGAACAAACTATGCCATGAATATGGACATAAGATTGATCATTTGGCATGAAAGCCATGAATCTTCACGCATGATAGCTCATTTACGAGAACACTTTTTTAAAATAATTGCCGTATTACAAGTTTATTATTTTTCCTGGAAACTTGGTCACATATAATGACACAATGTGGATGTTTTCCATTTTTTTTCATTTTTTTGAATTATTTATGCCCGCTTCAAAATGCTGTCAAAACAGCAGACATGATCGTTCCTAGCTAGTGGTTGAATCTTGGATTTTTTCGGTGTTTCTCTGATTAAATAGATACTTATGTACCTAGAAATGATTTTTGGAAAAAATAAAGAGCAAACTATGAGGCAGTTGCAGTTCAAATTTGACCCGTTTCCTGCTGAATCGGCGGAAATTTGTCTTTTTCACCAGAGGTGGAACAAAGCTTTTAGCACCCAACCATTTGGTCAACTAAACATTAAATATGACATAAGATTTTATAAAATTGATGTGGTCAAAATTTGCAACAAATATTTGCTAGGTTTTTCATAAAAAAATCATTTTGGGCTCTCGAAAAATAATTCTCTTACAAAAAACTTATTTCTGAGAATACTTTTTTATGATATTTGCATTATTCAAAGTTTGTTATTCTTACTGAAAAGTAGGTCACACTTGGTGACACAATGCAAAGTTTTTTGTTTTCTATATGTTTTTATAAATTTCCTAGGCCGTCAAATAGCAGACATGATTTAACATCTTATTTTCAATCGATTATGACCAATTTAAATGGTCTTAAAATCATCAAAGGGATACTGCGTTTTGATTGGTCCAAAACCATCTCACACGGATCATGGATTAGCACCGTCGGATGCGCCCGGATCCAACGGCAACCCACACCCCCCTCATCGCTCTCGCCCCCTCCCTCTCATCCTAGTCCACCCACGAAACCACGAAACCCTAGCTCACTTTTATCACCATCGCCGCTGCCGCTCCCGCTCCCTTTTCCCCCGCCGCCGCATGTCTCCTCCCATCGTACTCCTCCTCCCTCATCCTCGTCTCGTCGCCGCCGCCACCTCCTCCCCGTCCCCGGCCTCCTTCCGCGGTGCACGATCCCCTTCCCCTCCCCTCCCGATCCCACCCACCAAAC